GCGTGTAAAATGTGTATCTTTACTGTAATACTGATGCTTCAGCTTTATGTTGCTTTACAGTGCTGATAATCTCATCTGGACTTACCGAGCCTTTCTGCAGTTCCTCACAGCTGGAATCAGTCTCAGTCGTCCCTCCTCTGATGTGTTGTACTTCTTCAGGTCCAACTCATCCAGAACTTTCTCTGACATCTGCAGCATGTAGGCCAGAGCTGAGCAGTGGAACACAGAGAGTTTCTTCTTTGATCTGTTCTCTGACTTCAGGAACTCTTGGATCTCCTGATTTACTGAGTGGTCGTTCATCTCCATCAGACAGTGGAAGATGTTGATGCTTCTGCCAGGAGAGATCTTTGTATTCCTCTGTTTCAGGTTGTTGATGGCTCTCTGGATGATTTCTGGACTTTTGTCTGTCTGACCCAGCAGGCCTCTTAAGAGTCTCTGGTTGGACTCCAGAGAGAGGCCATGAAGGAAGCGAACAAACAGGTCCAGGTGGCCATTTTTACTCTCAAGGGATTTCTCCATGGATCCCCTCAGGAAGACATCGAGGGTTGAATCAACATGTTTTTTCCCCAGGAAGTCCTTCAGTACCTCTGTGTTCCTGCTGGTGTAACAGTAGAACATGTAGACTGCAGCCAGAAACTCCTGAACGCTCAGATGAACAAAGCAGTAGACTGTTTTCTGGAAGATCACACTCTCTCTTTTGAAGATCTCTGTACAAACTCCTGAGTACACCGAGGCCTCTGTGACATCAAGACCACACTGCTCCAGGTCTTCTTGGTAGAACATGATGTTTCCTTTCTCCAGCTGTTCAAACGCCAGCCTCCCCAGCTTCAGAAGATCCTTCCTGTCAGCCTCCGTCAGCTCCTGTGGACTCGTCTCATGTCCCTCATCATACTTCTGCTTCTTCCTCTTTGTCTGAACCAGCAGGAAGTGTGAGTACAGGTCAGTCAGGGTCTTGGGCAGCTCTCCTCTCTGCTCTGTAGTCAACATGTGCTCCAGAACTGTAGCAGTGATCCAGCAGAAGACTGGGATTAGACACATGATGTGGAGGCTCCTGGAGGTCTTGATGTGTGAGATGATTCTGCTGGACAGCTCTTCATCACTGACTCTCCTCCTGAAGTACTCCTCCTTCTGGGCGTCAGTGAAGCCTCGTACTTCCGTTACCCTGTCAACACATGAAGGAGGGATCTGATTGGCCGCCGCAGGTCGGGAAGTTATCCAGACGAGAGCCGAGGGAAGCAGATTCCCCTCGATGAGGTTTGTCAGCAGCAGGTTGACTGATGACTTCTGTGTGACATCAGACACAACCTTCTTGTTGTTGAAGTTTAATGAAAGTCTGCTTTCATCCAGGCCGTCAAAGATGAACAACGGTTTCCAGACAGCGAGCTTCTCTGCTGGGACCTTCTGTAATGTTGGATGGAAAACATGGAGCAGCGTGAGGAGACTGTACTGCTCATCTTTGATCAAGTTCAGCTCCCTGAACGAGAGCAGAACCAGCAGACTGACATCTTGGTTTTCCGAGCCCTCTGCCCAGTCCAGACTGAACTTCTGCACTGAGAAGGTTTTTCCAACACCAGCGACGCCGTTGGTCAGAACCACTCTGATGGCTCTCTGTTGGCCAGGTAAGGCTTTAAAGATGTCCTGGCACCTGATTGGAGTGTCATGGAGGGTCTCCATCTTGGAAGCTGTCTCAAGCTGCCTCACCTCATGCTGGGTATTAACCTCTTCACTCTGTCCCTCTGTGATGTAGAGCTCAGTGTAGATCCTGTTGAGGAGGGTTCCACTTCCTGTTTCATCACTTCCTTCAGTCACACGTTCACATCTCCTCCTCAGACTGATCTTATGTTCATCTAAAACCTCCTGCAGACCACTATCTGCTGAAAGAGAAGAACAAATAACCTGAGACTAAACAGAGAGCAAGAATCCAGATAAATCAAATGTTTTGGATGGATGATATTCATGATAATATTAAAAACCAAATGTTCCTGTAATTAAACAGAAAGTCCTGTTTTCAGACATGACGACATCAGCAGACAGATGAACAGTCTTACTTTGTACAGAGCTGCTCTGACTGGCTGTCTGCAGTCCAGCTCTGGTTCTGGATTTTACCTCCACACTGGGGACAGGAGGAGTCTCCTGATGAAGCAGACTGGTCCCAGTATGAGGTGATGCACTGTCTGCAGAACCAGTGTCCACAGCTGGTAGAGACTGGATCCTTCAGGACGTCCTGACACAAAGCACAGCAGGACGGCTGCTCCTCCACAGGAACAGGACTCCTCTTCCTCTCTCTGTGAAGACATTTCTTTAGAACTAAAATAGTAGTTAGTTATTAATACAAACTCAACACTTCCTGCAGCTCCTCCACAGTAAAAGCCTTCATTACAGAGAGCTGATTATGTCCTTCACTGTTTTACAGTCACTCTGGGCAGCTTAGCTTGAGTTAGTTAGTTTGAATTGAGGTTAGAGGTGGTCTAATTAATTGTAGTAGACCAGTAGTCTGAGACGAGTCATTTTAGATTTTGAATCATTCTATATCTTTACAGTGACGTCAACATGAGGGCAAAAATATATGAATATTTTCTTGAAGTGTAAATTCTGAAATGGAGGTTCTCAGGTGTTTTGCTACAGAAATAAAGTCAGATCCATCTTAGTTTGAAACAGTATCTGCACTAATAGTTCTGCATCAGGAATTTAAATCTTTTAGCAGAACATTTTGTCTTCATCCTCAATGCATCATCTTCCATCAGGTCTTACAGTAAAAACAGTCTCTTACTTTGTGTCTGAGGGTCCAGGTTCAGGACTGAAGGATGGAGGAATAAAATCTTTGGACCAGTCACTCTTCATAGACAGACAGCTGGATCCTGCAGACTCTGCTCTCCATCTGTTGGACTCAATTCTGCAAACCGTGAGATATTTTAGTCATTTCACATGAATCATTGACAAATTCTCTGATGAAAGCCATTCAGGAAGCTCTAAACACACAAACTGCTGCTGCTGTTGATAATTACGAGGTTTAAAAGTTTGTCTGAGTCCTCTTAGATCAGATTACAGCTTTAATCAGATTCCAGCTTCTCTATGTGACTGACAGCTGTCACAGATACTAAGAGGAAGACGGCACCAATGATTTCTCTTTGTCTGTGGCACACATTTTAGTTAGCAGTTACATTAAGAAGGTTTGACTCCTCTGGGTGTGGGATCTCTTACTAACAGAAGCCTCATCTAAACCACTTTTGGGTGACAGGAGATTCATTAATCTTTTCAGACCATCTTCATGCCCACTGTGGCTGCATCATGTGTAGCTTAGTTATTAAATAGCTCCAGCACCATTCGTCCATCCTTCACCACCAGGCTGTCTTGGCCTTTTCCTCTTATGCATTTAGCTTTCTTATTTATTGGTGTGTTTTGTTTTTTGGTGTGACTGCAATACATATAATTTAATATGAAGGTATTTTTGTGTCTTTTTAAATTAAAGCAAAATAAATGTTTTGAGAGCATATGTATCGCATTGCAATCAAAAATCAAGTTTGTAATTGAAAATAAACAGGCCTTTTTTTATCACCAAAAGTTTTAATTGCTAATATGTCGTCTTTGAGGTCCGGCACTAGGACCCTAAGGGTGGCTGCCTTTCACCGCTGCTCTGCTGAGCTGCTAAGCAACATTACTACACACCGAGAGACAGGAAAACACTATGGAAACGCTATGGAAAACACTAGAGTTGATAATGTCCATCCATCCATTGTCAACCGCTTATCCTGCGTACAGGGTAGCGGCGGGCTGAAGCCAATCCCAGCTGACATCGGGCAAAGGGCGGGGTACACCCTGGACAGGTCGCCAATTCATCATAGGGCCACACATAGACAAACAACCACTCACGCTCACACTCACACCTAAGGACAATTTAGGGTCACCAATTAACCTAGTCCGCGTGACTTTAGATGGTGGGAGGAAGCCGGAGCACCCGGAGAGAACCCACGCAGACAAGGGGAGAACATGCAAACTCCACACAGAAAGGCCGGGGTAACCAGGGTTGAACCCACGACCTTCTTGCTGTGAGGCAACAGTGAACAGCTAACCACTGTACCACCGTGCTGCCCTAGTGTTGATAATGTGAACAACATTAATATTACCTATATCTAGTAGCCTATTTCAAAATAATTTCAGCCAGTGAAAACTGAATGTCATAGTGTCCCTGTTAAAACTGTTATATATCCTTCTATTCATTAACCAGATGGATATTGAAGATATTTTGGGAGAGAGAGAAGCGGGAGATTGGCAGGGCAGCTGATTCTGGAGTCAGTAGTGGTCTACAGGTCTTAGGACATGTGGGCTGTTTTGTTTTCTTCTAACAATAGGCATTTGTTGGCAGATCTAGGCACCAAGGCAAAGCCTAAATTTTTTCATGATATTTATTATTATGACATATAGTAACACTTTATTTTAAGGTGTTTGTAATAAGCAGTAATTAACAGATAATAAGACACTTATAAGACCTTATAGGCTGCTTATAAACATGAATTAGTCAATATAAGTGTTAATTAAAGCATAATTAACACATTTATTATTGTTTGTAAGAAATTTGAGCACTTATTAGAAACTGCTTAACAGTTTATAGACCACTTATCAATGTTACTGGGATGTTTATTGACAGTTATCAGACTGTAAGAGGTTTTTATTACTAATCTAGTAAAGCCTCATAAATCCTTTATTATGCATGTTAACCATTATCAATGCACCTTTGCAGCTACCTGTACTAAAGTGGGAACAGTTTCTTATTTAAATTAATAAATCCTTAATTATTCCCCGTGTCTGCGTGGGTTCTCTCCGGGTGCTCCGGCTTCCTCCCACCATCCAAAGACATGCAGTCTAGGTTAATTGTTGACTCTAAATTGTCCTATTGTCTATGCATGGCCCTGCAATGGACAGGGTGTACCCCGCCTTTCGCCCGATGTCAGCTGGCTCCAGCCCCCGCGACCCTGTACGCAGGATAAGCGGTTGACAACGGATGGATGGATGGAATCCTTTATTATGCACTTATTAATCATTAAAAATCCTCCTTGTCAGCTACCTGAACTAAAATGGGAACAGTGATCTTATTAAGATGAGTAAATGCTAATAAAAATAACTAATAATAGAAGAAAAGTATAATAAATAAAAAAGAAAATATAACAGAATATTTTAAATAGTGTAGTTGTGAAACAAAATCATACTCTAAGACATCTGTTGTGGAAATGTTATTTTTTTTACATTTCATAACTTTCATGTTTCATAACTTTCATCTAAACGCAGCAACAAAAATTACATTATATTAAACCCAGGCCAAACACAAGTTTGAAAAAAAAAGTGCAATTACAAGTATGTTTTCTTTAACATTAACTGAAAACATTTTGTATAATAGATTTTTTCAATAAAAAAAAAATTACATTGTACAGAATTGTTTTTCAATCCTCCACCTTCAACAATGTCCGTATGGCTTTCAGGCCAGCAAGCTGACCTTGACATCGTGGACTTTGGGGAACATTTTTGGTTCCCATCCTGCAGCTCCAGGAAGATCTTCTGAAAAACCTTAAAAGGTGTATTTCAGTTTCTTTGGATAGTTTAGTTCTAAAGCCATAAGGTAGCCCATTAGGTAGGTGCAAGCCTGTGCTACAATGGGAATCCCAAAAAGGGCCGCTGCTGCCACGATGGGCTATTCCAGCTTGCTCCTTAAGACCCCGTCCCTGATTTTTCTTGTCCACAAAGATGTTGAGTATAAATGAAGGGAGGACTTCTTGGATGGCTGAAGCATCGTTGTCATCACATATCTGTGAAATATACCAGAGAGATTTAAACTTACTTTTTTTTTTGCTAATGTTAAGAACGCATATAGCTATTTGCTCTACCTCTGAACAGAAATCTGGGTGGGTAGTTGCTTTGGTATTTTTAAGTGGTGTTGTGATTTAAGTCAAGAAATGTGTGTGCGCGCATCAGAAATACATTTATGTACCTTAATTTTTTTTTTCGCACGTGGATTTGCCTACATTTTAAAACAATAACTATCTTCTGTGAATTGAAACTTATTTACGTGAAGAGAGTCACGTGTATATATAAATCAAGAAATAAATTTGTGATTCCTTCAGTGTGCATTAATAAAAGGTGAGAGTTCAGATAAAAAACTTTTCTTTACATGGTAGTCCTTGATTAACTCTGTAGAGAATGAGGCCTCTGATCACAGCTTCTTTTCAGGACTCAATGCTGCTATCCTAAAAATATGTGAAATACGAGATTATCTTACAAGTACAGATGTCTCGTTTATGATGTCCAGGGTCAAATTTCTTCCCAGCAGCTCCTCCCTTCCAAACTACCTGTGTTTGTCCAACTTCCCAGGGAATGTGGACTGAAGTGGCTTCAGTCTGATCCTCCGGAATTCTTCATTGATCTGAGAAAGAGACTGAGAGTGAAAGAGAAACATCATGAGATACTGAGAGAAAAGAACTAGAGACACAGGGAAAGAGAAACAGAATACCAAGAAAAAGTAACCCTAGAAACTACCACCATGGGATCAACAAAAATACATTTCCAAGGTAATGGGAACTAATGTAATGGCACACAACAGCCAGCAACATTTGGTGCATACACATTAGAAATTAAGTCTTGCTGCTCTTAGTAAAAAAAAAAAGACTGAATAATAATAATTTTAAAAATTTATAAAATTTTTACTTCTACCAATTTGCTCTGTGAAATGCAAAAAACAAACAGGACAAGTAGAACTCTGCCAACCCGAAATGAAAACAACTTTTTGTCTGGCCAAGTAAGTTAATACAACTTTACCAGCACTTGCTCTATATAATAAACCAATTTATTGAAAGTTCCATGCCTTTGTCCAGTGTACTTGTCATTGTATAAATGTAATGTAAATGCTCTGCGACCACTCAAAGCGCTTTACACTACATCGTATTCACCATTCACACACATTCATACACTGAGCCTAAGCTCAAACAGAAACTAACACTCACACACATTCATACACTGGTGGAATAGCCACCAGGGGCAATTTGGGGTTCAGTATCTTGCCCATAAACACTTCGTCATGCAGCCTAGAGAAGCTGGGGCTTGAACCACCGATCTTCGGATTAACAGGCAACTCGCTATAGCTCCTGAGCCACAGCTGCCCCATATACTTCTATACATTTCTTATTTAATTTATTTTTATACAGTAGCTGGTTATTATTTTTGAAACATCTCCAAAATCCCCATTAAGAAACACACCAGACTTCATTTGATAATCAAGACTTTTAGCATGTATAGAGCCAGCATACTGTCGCATGTAAATGGGTGAATTTAGGGTTTATTTCAACCAACCCAGAGTGGTGGTTGTTGGAACAATGGAAAACAAGATGGCTTTTGATAGGTTTAGTTTATATTGCTTCTGTGGACTTTAAATTAAGTGTGTTTTATGATGATTTTACTGAAATTACAGTTAAATGGAGTCTGGTGGGTTTGGCATTTCAGGGATGTTTCATGTTAAACAAAAAGGATCTTACTCTTTAACAAAAGGTCAACCTCTGCAGGGATCTTTTCCATAACGGACAATTATCTGAGCATGTCAGTGGCAAAACAAGCAAATGTTGTGGATGTAAATTGAAGGTGTGCAGCTGCCCATTAACGTTACATTGTAGCTTGTTTCACGCAGCCACTGCAGCAGTCTCATTGACCAATTTCAAATGTCCAGGTTGAAAGAAAACGAAGTTAAGATACCATAAGACATTATTCAAGCTGCTATAAAATTCAAGTACTACCGTTAGCTTACACTGCATGCATTAATAGCTACATGCTAACGTTACCTTCAAATAGAACCAACTATTTTATCGGCACTAGCAAAGTTTCAATTACACCTGAAGCACCTATAGCCACCTACCAGCTTAAGCTTCACACAGAAGTAACTTTTAGCCACATGGTAATAGAATAAATCCACGTATAATGTTATCTTCAAATTACACATAAAGCCTTGTTTTTGTGCAATCTGAAAACTTTTGAAGACTGTATAAATATAGCTAACTGTGCTTACCTTAAACCTGATCCGCATGTTCCTCCTTTGAACTGCAATGGGTTTCCTGACCAACAGAACTGGAAGGGAAGTTGGACTCATTGAGGCTCCTCCGGGGCTCCTCCCGCTACTGAGTATATAGGTGTGTGTGTGTGTGTGTGTGTGTGTGTGTGTGTGTGTGTGTGTGTGTGTGTGTGTGTGTGTGTGTGTGTGTGTGTGTGTGTGTGTGTGTGTGAAGATTGGCTGTACTTCATGCATTTTGTAAAGAAAAAAAAATGCACAAGTGCACAATGTCATATGTTTAACAAAGGCATATTAATTCTAAACTAGATATATTCTAAACATATTCTGTATTAACATTTTAACATTTCAACATATTAACATTTTATTGTTAATATCACAGATTTAATTACATAACATTTACTCCTACTTGGAATTTGGTGCAGTCTTAACAAAGTTTTAATAAAGAGGGATCCCTACTCTGACTCAACTCTAGGCCAAATTTCTGTTTGGGTGGAGCTCATAAATATCTTACAAGCCAATAATAAATGTGTTTTGGGATATTATTAACAGTCATTAATTTTAATAAACAACTTTCACTTACTTACTTTTACTTTCTAGTAAGTGCTCATAAGTGTGCTAAATAATAAATGTGTTCATTCATACATCAATCTTAATAAAAATGCATTTTATAAGCTGCCTTTAAACAATAAGATTTTTTTTAAGTTAACAAAAAGTGTCTTTCAAGGAAATAACAAATCTCTTAATTTCTTATTAAACAACCCTTATAAAGTCATTAATGTTAATAAACATCTTATTAATGTTTATTAACAGGTATATAAACCATCGACACGTTTCTAATAGCAGTCTATAAGTGTCTTATAAGAAAATTATGAAAGAGTTAATTGTGCTTTACTTAACACATATATGGACTTATTTGTGTTTATAAGCATTTTAAGTGTTTTATTTTATTTTATTTTTAATTACTGCTTATTAACTGTTTATTACTACTTACAAGCACCTTAAATTAAAGTGTCCAAACACTCTCCTTATCATTAACGGAGATTTTAACCACGCCAAAATCTCAAGGACACTGAGCAACTTCAAACAGTACGTTACCTGTAACACCAGAGGAGACAAGACCCTGAATAATATGACAATGTTAACAAGCATTTCCATCTCTACTTTAGAAACCACAGATCTACTCTTAGCAATGAGATGGAAAAAACAGGAACGAACCACAGATTTAACATGACTTTTAAAACACATAGATTTGTCAAAATGACTTTAACAAGAGAGTATTAATATACTCCTTTGTCTGTTTTATTATTTAATTATGTATTGATTTGTCACCGGGCCGGACAGGGGGGCAGCCACGGGGATGGGGGGGCACAAACGGACAGCACATAGAAAGGACAACACCTGCAAGAGAAGGGGGATTGAAAGTGGGGACAACAGGGAAAAGCTGTGGGAAACACCAATTGCAGAAAGCAACGAAACCTGCAATAGAACAGAGAGGGGGCTTGGGGAGGAGAAAAACAACAACAACAAACAAACAAAAACAAACAATAAAAATAATAATAATAGTAAAAGACAACCAGCCGAACAGCAGCAATGAACAGCTGACATATTAAGACAACTAAGAGAACAATGAAAACAAGAAACAGTCACACACACTAAATAAGCAACACAGCACAGCCACGAGAGCTGGAATAATAATTAATTTAAATAAGTAACTGAAAGAAAAGCATCAGGAATAATTCTACCAGGGACAAACTAAGTTTGTTTGTGTCTGTGTGTGTGTCTGTGTGCGCGTGGGTGAATGTGTCTGTATGTGTGTGTGTGTACATGTGTGTGTGCATAAGCCTGTTAAAGAATGTAGTTGTTAGTGAGAGTGGGACGCCACGACTGTAACAGGCAGGCAAGAACCCCAGTAGCCAATAGGGGTGGGAGAAAGAAAAAGAATAAATCAAATAAAAAACAAAGACTCCCAGATGCACTGCGATGCAAACGCAGAAGACCCCGACCCAAATGCCAGTTGACAACGTAATGCCGACGGAACGCAAAAAGCGTATCCATCCATTTGTTAACGGAGGCCAAGCAATTGTGCAACAAGGACAGTTTGTCTAGCCTATGAGGACTAAAAGATAAATATAATTGGATGTCATCAGCATAGCATTTTAACTAAATTTTAAAACTACCAATAATCTTTCCGAGAGGAAGCATATACACACTGAACAGCAGGGGGCTGAGCACAGAACCTTGGGGCACACCACAGGACAAAGGAGTCTGACATATATGGTCCATATGGACACAGAGAAGCTCAGAAAGATGAGGAAAACCAGTCCAGAGCTGATCCAGTAATGCCCACAGTTGTTTTCAGTCTACAGAGTGCAGTGATCAACAGTATCAAACGCTGCACTGAGATCTAATAGGACCAGCACAGAACATTTACCCCCATCAGCAGCCATCAAAATATCATTTGAGACTCTAAGGAGGGCAGTCTCAGTTGAATGCTTTTTACAAAAACCAGACTGAAACTTATCAAAGATATTATGAGAATCCAAAACATTATTTAGCTGGTTCGCAACAACTTTTTTCTAGAATTTTAGAAAGAACAGGCAATTTAGAAATAGTCCTATAGTTTCTAAATGAAGCTGCATCAAGATTGTTCTTTTTCAAGATAGGCTGAATAACACCATGCTTAAAACAGCCAGGGAAATGGGGCAGAAGGAGTCCTGTATTGAAAGTCTGATGTTTAACTATATGGGGGTTTGCTGATGGAACAATGCCTGCCCTGACAGCTCCAACCTTGTCCATAAAGTGAGACAAAAAGTGGTTGCAGTAAACACTTGAAAACACAGGGACATTACATACAGCAGGAGAAACAGTGTTGTTAGTATACTCAAACAGAGTTTTAGGAATTTTTTTTAATTTATTTATTTTTTTTAAACAGGCAGATATCAGATTAGTAAAATAAGAGGCTCTAGCATCCTTGATAATTTTGTTTAAGTCTATTAAAAGCTCTGTAAGATGCAGGCGGAGTCACTTTCCATAAACGCTCAGTTCTCTGACAGACATGCCTTCAGCTGCGAATGGCGTCATTCATCCACGGGGATGTAATAACAGAGGGAATTTCTCTAGTTTTAAGAGGAGCCACTTTGTCCAACAGCAGGGTGCAGTGATCATTAAACGCCTGTGCACAAACGTCCACGCCATTCGAAATAAGAACAGAGCTCGAGTGAAATGCGGCTGAAAAATTTATTCATAATTATAAATTAAATTAGTAAGCTGGTTAATGAAACATGAGCAGGATCCAGCTGGGATTGGCTCCAGCACCCCGCGACCCTGTACGCAGGATAAGCGGTTGACGATGGATGGGATGGATGGATGGATGGATGAACGAACGACCAACCTTAGTCATCTGAAGTTCAAAAGAGTACGTGCCAGTGCTCATTGACTGGCAGATAAAACATTTTTTTAAAAACACAGCAAGGCCTCCACCACGTCCTGTGTGTCTTGGCATGCTGATAAAATTACAGTCCACAGGACAGAGCTCATTCAAGTGATAGTATTCCATATCCCGTTGCCAAGTCTCCGTGAGCAAAATGAAGTCCATGTTTTTGGAAGTAAATAAATCACTGAGCAAAAGAGACTTGTTTGCAATTGAACGGGCATTGATCAGACCCATCCTGAGTGGTGCACCTGAAGCAGAGAAAGAGGCTCGCAGCAGCGACCTCAGATGCACAGAACACACACCGCGACCAGTGGTAGGGTTTCTCCAGGGCACGGGGACCGGAGTCCTGGGGACGTCAGGGAAGACAGAACGAAGACTGGAAGGTCTGGGGTCACAGTCAAAGACCCCCACGTTGAAGAGTATTTTCAGATGAACCTGCCTTCCAGCCCTTTTTCCAGATGGACGTATGAACAGGGCTGCAAACTCACCTGTACCACTCCAGGTACATCTGTCACCACACTCCACCATGGAGGATCGGATCAACAGCATTGTTTGGCGATCGTACACCCATGCAGTACACACAACATCTGTTGACAAACTTAATAGCAATATAGTGCGGGAAACAAACAAAACGAGTCGGGACAAACAACCAGCCGCAGCGGCGAAGCCAAACACAGGCGCCATGTCGGAATCGGAAGTGGTGCAGCCAGACAGCGGACTGGGAAATGTTCCAACAGGATCACGGTGAGGATATTGAGGGTTTGGCCCGATGTGTCACTGACTACATCAGGTTCTGTGAGGACAGTATCTTCCCCACCAAAAGGATATGCTGCTTCCCCAACAATAAGCCCTGGATCAACAGAGATTGGATGTCTCTGTTGATCCAACAAGAAAAAGATTGCAGAGGGATCCGAAGAGAGAGCTGAGGAGGGCTAAGAACTCTTACAAGAATCGGATCGAAGGGAAGCTGCAGCAGAACAACAGCTGTTGGGGTGTGTGAAGACAGGCCAGCAGGAGCATCAGAGGGGACAAAGGACAGAACCAATGAGTTAAACCAGTTTTTCAACAGGTTTGACTCAACAACACTGGCTGGACCCCCCTCCGCCACGTAGCCTCACCTTTGAGAAGCCACACAACAACCTGAGGATCATGTTCTTCGACTTATCTAGTGCTTTTGACATCATCCAGCCTCTCTGGCTGGCTGAGAAGCTCTCTGTAATGCAGGTGGATCAGGACCTGGTGGCCTGGATCATAGACTACCTCACTGACAGGCCGCAGTATGTCAGGCTGCATGGCTGCCTGTCAGACATCGTGGTGAACACTGGCACGCCCCAAGGAACTGTACTGTCACCGTTTCTCTTCACACTCTACACTTCTCCCTTTTGCTTGACTCTGGAACGAGCCACCTCCAGAAGCTCTCAGATTACTCCTCTATCGTAGGCTGTATCACAGACGACAGCGAGGAGGAGTTCAGAGACCTGATTGAGAGCTTCATTGGATGGTGTGACAGCAACACAGTTCAACACAGGAAAAACCAAAGCTGGTGGTGGATTTCAGAAGCAGCAAGAGGCCCCACACCCCTGTTGGTGAGGGGGTACAGATGGTGGACACCTACAAGTTCCTGGGGGTGCACCTCAACTACAAACTGGACTGGACAGACAGCACTGAGGCCGTCTACAGGGAAGGACAGACCAGGCTGTTCTTCCTGAGGAGGCTCAGGTCCTTCAATGTGAGCACCAGGCTGCTGCGGATGTTCTACCAGTCTGTAGTGTCCAGTGTCATCTTCTCTGCTGTGGTGTGCTGGGGAGGGGGCATCGGGACTTGTGGCAGCAACAAACTGGGCCAGCTCGGTGGTGGGGATGGAACTGGACAGTGTGGATCCAGTGACTGAGAGGAGGATGAGAGGGAGGCTGAAAACCATCATGGTCAACCCCTCTCATCCTCTCTATGCTGCGGAACTCAGGAGCAACTTTAGCCACAGACTCATCCAGCCAAGAGCCTCAAAGCGCCATCAGGCTCCACAGCACCGAACTGAGAGACTATTTCTGATTTCACTTAATTTCAGACACTTATCTGGTTATAAGTAATTATTATTGATTGTATAGTGTAAATAGTGTGTTGATACTTGATAATACTGCATCTTTTCTTTTATATTCCTTTGAGCTGCTATGTTGACTGAAATTTCCCCTACGGGGGATTAATAAAGTTATATCTTATCTTATGTATCTTGTATTCAGCCAAACTGCAGAGCAAAATCACCAAAACCGATCCACATTGCAGTAATAAGTGTAATTAAATAGCATTCTTTGGAGAGAAGAGAGAGAGAGAGAGAGAGAGAGAGAGAGAGAGAGAGAGAGAGAGAGAGAGATGGTATTACTTTATCATGCATTTACACGAGCAGCTTGATAGCATTTAAGTCACAGCATACAGACGAACTCAGTCTGGATTAAGTGAATTCCCCCCACAGCGTTGATGTGTCTAAAAGCTACATTACATGGGCGTCACAACCATTGTATGTGGGTGGGACCAGACCCAGGGGGAGTAAACCCAGACCCCCCTACTATCAGATTTCAGGATTTATGAGACTCTATTGTAAATGTATCCAAAAATACAACGAAATGCAGTTTAGAGCAAAACATTGAACTTAGCAGCTTTAAAATAGCATATAAGCAATGAGGATTTCTATAAAATACTGGTCTGGTCCTGGTCTTGAGACCGGTCTTAAGACCACTTTTGTACTCGGCCTTGTCCCGGTCTCAGACATTGAGGACTCTGGATTTTATTTTAAGACCATAACTAAATAAACTAAACTAAAATATCAATAATTGCTTTTGCATTGTCTGATTTATTTGTTAAAATCCTAAAATTTTGATCGGATGTGAAAACTTCAAATGCAACCAATAACTCTAATTAAAAATGTGTTGTTACCGTTAACGACTGTCACCCCGCCCCGT